ATTCTGCACCCGATTTGCGTTAACGCAAGCAGTCAGTGTGGTCACGGGGTGAGGGGGACGATCCAATATTTGGCCACACTCAGTCTTTATTTCTATCTACTTATGTCATTTGAGTAGGCTTAAATTAACCACGCTTACTTTTTGCTCATTCCTCGTCACGCCGCCCTCGCCTGCTACCATTAGGGTTCGTGTTCGGCTTAGGGTTGGGGTTGGGTGATGACCCTTGTCACCAGTCACGGCCATCAAGAAAGTCGCGTTTACTGAGATGTTAATAGCAGACTGGGATGAGTTCACCCGGAATATCTAAATAGTGGCTTTTCGTATCTATTTTTGTCCGCTCTTTTCTAGCTCCTACTTTCAGGTATTTCAGTTTGAGCGCTCGTATTATTAGTAACGTAGTCAAACAACCTAGCGGCGTGAAAGGACCAGGTTAGCGCGGATAAGCGTGTATGCGCGGGCTGTTGAGAAGACGACTGTCAGTCTTGTAGACAAAATGCGGATTCCAGAGCGGTCATTAGGATCGGCCTCACCATCAGCATGGGAGAGAATATGAAAGTGAAAAAGATGCGAGCGGGTACGCAGCCCTGCTTTACTCCACTGTTCACTGCGAATGCAACGTAAACTGCTTGTCAAGTGCACCATCATGGAGCTGAGGCTCATTTGCCGTCAGGCCGCCCTTAAGTGCTACCATTAACATTCTAATTAAAATGAAGGGGTTGTGGTTTATGCTAAGACTAAGGTTTGCTGTTGGTGGTTAAACTTGGAGGGTAGGACTAGTGTTGAGACATTTGGGTTTTGAGTCAAGCTATCCATATTGTCACCTTCATTCGCGGCCAACATAAGAGGCGGTTTCATACTGTGTTGGATGAGGCACTCAGCCTCCAGCGGTGTTGAGGTGTTCAGAAACTCCCTAACACGCCGACAAAAGACCATGCCTGGGAAGTAATTTGAAAAATCTACTTAAGGGTCAATTAACTACCTACTTCATTATACAGGCGTTATTTAGTATACACGGACAGACGCAATGCTGTAAAAGTACTATCGTAGATGTTCCCATATAATGAGCATGGAATTCAGTTAGTTAAGGAGGACTTGTACGAATGAGTGCTAAAGCTGGGCTGCCAAAGGAAACGCGGTAACAAATTGATATTTCCACAGGAAAACAATGATATTTAGTTAAATAAGATTAAATTAGTACCCGTGGAGAGCTGGCAAAAAATTCAGACTCAGTCTAGAATAAGTAGAGAGAGATGTGTGCCACGATCTTGCCACTAGCCTCGACCTAGTCGGCCGTGTAACAATGTGGCGATCGAATCCTAAAGGAGACCAAACCAGCCAGCAAGGGCGGAGGAAGAGACGGAAACTTACTTTCTGGCGGTAGATCTAATTTTCTGCATTTCTGGATTGTCCTCGTCGGGGTCGCGGAGATCGCCGGCCTCATAGAAGCCCACATCCTCTAGCTCCTTCTCCTGGGCCTCTAGTTCATTCAGCTTGGCCTCAATGTCCTCGTCGAAGAAGTCATAAATATTGTGACCTTCAATAATTTCTGGAATAATATCGTCCTTTTCGTTTTTGTTTTTCAGCAACCAGTGGTCACGCAGATTCAGGTAGAAGTCATCACCCTCGGC